CCGCCGCGCTCAGCGGTACCCGTGACCCCCCACCCCCCCCCCCAAGTCAAAAGCTGGAGAGAGACGAATAAGAAAGGGCCCCGGTGCGCTGAGTCCAGCCAGGCCGGGCATGCCCGGGACACCTGAAACATCCCCGCCCCCGGAGACTTCTCGGAGAGCAGCTCGCGACCAGGCTGGACGACCAGGGAGACGACTCTGGGCTCCCACGCTCCTTCCCGCTCAAGGATTCGTCACTGCAGATGTGTTTGTCGGATCCCCTGACGTCCCTCATCCCGCTTCCCACAACTGAGGGCCCCTTCGGGGTGGCTCCCGGTCTCTCTTGTTCAGACTCCAGCTCACGGCTCACTCCCCCGCTTGCCCCCCACCCCCACCCAGGGTCTGCAGTGTGTGAGCCTTTTCCTGTATCAAAGCAGAAACCTCAGAACAGGAAGAGGTGATACACGGAAAGAAGGGCTCCTGACTCCTCATTCATTTATTCACTCATTCACTCATTCACCAAACAGTCCCTCTGTTCTGTAAGAGAGAGCCCGACACTCTGAGCCTGGGGTAGGGGCAAACTTGGAACAAAGGAAGAACTAAGGCTGTGGGGCCGACCATGTTCATTCCAAAAGGCTAAGCATTCGCTTAACAAACGTTGACTAAATTCCTCCCTTCCCTCCCGTCCTGCTCCACTATACTCTGTCGGGAAATTGAGGCTGGCAAAGAAAAACTTGCCTGCCAGGAAGAACCCCCAGGCAGGTTGGCTTGGCACACGGGCGAGAAGAACAGAGTTGACTCAGCAGGGCTCAGAGCCAGCTCAGTCTCTGGAATCTGAAACTGCATGCCCCGGGGCTGACGTGCGGGTCACCACTCATACACTTGGCCCCGGCCGGGCTGGATGCCAGGACGGCTGATCCCGGCAGCAGTGACAGGCAGATGGGAAGGGCGGCAAGGAAAACCTCTGCATGGAGTAGGTCCAGACAGCCACCATCTGCCCTGGCAGCCCGCCTGTCCACCCCCAACACCCTGGCCTCTCTCTGAGGCGGTGACATAACTCTCAGGGTGTGCTCTTTTCTTCCGTGGCTTCTCGCCCTGAAAGAAATGATCAGTTAACTTCTCGACCTGACGGCCTTTTCTCTCCATTCACTTTTCAGGGACTTCTTCCTTTGTGCCATGTTTCACGGGGCACAGAACCCGCCAGAAGCTTTTAGAGGCACCTGATGTGAACATGGCCCAGAAGAAATTTTCCAGGGACCCGGAGCTGGCTCTGGATTGCATTCTAAAAACTGTTCTGGGCTGCCTGGGTGGTTCAGTCGGTTGAGTGACCGACTTCTGCTCAAGTCATGATCTCACGATTTGTGGGTTCGAGCCCCGCATCGGACTCTGTGCTGACAGCTCAGAGCCTGGAGCCTGCTTTGGATTCTGTGTCTCTGTCTTTCTCTTCCCCTCTCCCCCCCTCTCCCCCCGTCTCTCAAAAATAAATAAATATATTTTAAAAATTTTTTAGGGGCGCCTGGGTGGCACAGTCGGTTAAGCGGCCGACTTCAGCCAGGTCACGATCTCGCGGTCTGTGAGTTCGAGCTCCGTGTCGGGCTCTGGGCTGATGGCTCGGAGCCTGGAGCCTGTTTCCGATTCTGTGTCTCCCTCTCTCTCTGCCCCTCGCCCGTTCATGCTCTGTCTCTCTCTGTCCCAAAAATAAATAAACGTTGAAAAAAAATTTTTTTTTAATTTTTTAAAATAATAAATAAAAACTGTTCTGTGGAACATACTCTCTGACCCAGCAGTGACACTGTTGCTCTGATCAATTGTTTCTTTTTTTAAGCTTACTTATTTATTTTGAGAGAGAGAGCATTCTAAGCAGGTTCTGAGGTATCTGCAAAGAGCCTGACATGAGGGTCCATCCCACAAACCGTGAGATCATGATCTGAGCTGAGATCACCCAGACACCCTGATCAATTGTTTCTTGAGTACCTACTGTGACGGCTGCTGTACTGGGACCATAATGGTGAGTAAGACAGTCCTGTCCACCAGGTTGGCTACTTTGGTCAAAGCAAATAGCATTAGAAAGGTGACATACGAAACAAAAGAAAAAAAGAAAGGTGACATAGGGCCTGGAATCTCTCACCAAACCTGGGAAGCAGTGAAATGGACTTTTTTTTTTTTTTTTGCCTGTCTGTGGGCAGTTGAATTTCCCGACCTTTGGGAGATTTCAATCTGGCACCATACGTGCTCTCATGAAGAGTGTCTTTAAGGGGCACCTGGGTGGCTCAGTTGGTTAAGCCTCCGACTCTTTAAACTTTTTTTTTTACATTTATTTATTTTTGAGAGACAGAGTGAGACAGAGCACAAGCAAGGGAGGAGCAGAGAGAGAAGGAGGCACAGAATGTGAAGCAGGCTCCAGGCTCTGAGCCGCCAGCACAGAGCCCGACGCGGGGCTCGAACCCACAAACCGGGAGATCATGACCTGAGCTGAGTGAGGTTGGACACTTAACGCACTGAGCCATCGAGGTGCCCCCTGGCTCAGGTCTTGATCTCAGGGTTGTGAGCTGGGGCCCACACTGGGCGTGGAGGCTGCTTGAAAGAACAAAAAAAAAAAAGGAAGAAAAAGAAGTGTCTTTCCATCTATGTCTCTAGAACCTGAATTAGTAGGGGCCCCTCAGTCCCTCTTCACTAATCCCCGAGCATTGGGTCTCCTGGTGGGTGAGTCAGGAAGGGTTGATCTGTAAGCAGACAGGCTGCTTAGGATAGAAATAGCGAACACCTACCGTGTCCTTCATTTATGTCGAGTATTATGCTTTGTCCTAAAGTGATTATATGTTCGCTTAATCCTAATAGCAACGCCAAATGAGTTGGGAACTCTTATTCCACTTTATGGATGAGGACTAGATAAAAGAGAGATTAAGTGCTTGTTCAAATTCTCCCAATTATCCAGGCAGAGCTAGGATTTGAAGCCGGGCTAGCCGACTCCCAACTGTGCTCTTGGTAACCCTTTGTCCCTAGTAGCCCAGTGATCCTTGCCTCCTGATATCCATGCTCTTCTACACTTCCCCCCTCTGGTGTAGGCGATAGGATATTATTGAGACGATGGTGTGTGCGACTTCCTAGGTTAGATCATAAAGAACACGTGGCTTCTGTCTTGTTCTTTTAAAAAAAAAAATTTTTTTAACATTTATTCATTTTCTTGAGAGACACAGATCACGAGTAGGGGGAGGGGCAGAGAGAGAGGGAGACACAGAATCCGAAGCAGGCTCCGGGCTCTGAGCTGTCAGCGCAGAGCCCCGCGACGTGAACTCATGAACCGTGAGATCGTGACCGGAGCTGAAGTCAGCCGCTTAATCGACTGAGCCACCCAGATGCCCCTCTTTTGTCTTTTTTTTTTTTTTTTTTTTTTTTTTG